CCCGTCGAAAGATCGGCAAACCAATCCGTGAAACGCACGTCCAACTTATGAAATCGGTAGTCAATCTCTTGAAACCGATCATTGAATGTTGCATCACGTTGTTTGTTTGCGGCATCTTGTCGTCCCGGCGGTATCGCGATCGTACTGACTGATGATACCAACTGATGTAGGGAAGCGTACGAGTGGGAAGGATAAAACGAGTGACGAGATACTCTCTCGTAAAATACATAAAACTCACAAATAGTTCATTTTTTCATTCAAAATCAACCAAATAAAACAATAGATGATGAGTCCTTTAAATAAAACTCATAACCCTATTCCTAACTTGTCCAACAAGACAAAATCTCGTATAATAATATTAGGTAATAATACTAAATTTCTAACTTATTCTCTAAGGCATTCTAACTTATTCTATAAGGCACCTATTAAATAATAATAATAATAATAATAATAATAATAATAATAATAATAATAATAATAATAATAATAATAATAATAATAATAATAATAATAATAATAATAATAAATACTAATCTACACTACAAAGTATATAGGTAGATAAGAGCATCTCCAATGGATGATTGTCCATTTTGGGTTGTATGACATGGAGAATGGAAGCTAAATATTATGTCTCCAATGATAAATGTTAATTGTGATTTCATTTGTGATGTGTTGAATTTTAATTGGTTGAAGAAGATAAATAAATTAAATAAATATTTTAATATACAAAAGAAGTTGTCTAGAAAGGCTTCTACATCTAGAAAGCCTTCTAGAATTTTTCAAGCCACATAAGATTAATTGTGACATGTGGCAACAAAATAGAGAAAGAGAAAGACCATTGGAGATGCTCTAAACTGATTCTATCTTTGAGGCTATCAGACAAAGGATGGCTGCAAATCTCTCCCCACCACAATTTAAAAGAAGTGTTATGCTCATCAAAACTGCTCCACTCCACTCCACGCAACTTCTAGACTAACTTAGCTCTAGCACAATTAAACAAGATATGATCTAAATCTTCAGCAACACATCCACACAGAGAGCAAATACAATCCACTGCCATCTTCTTCTTAATCAGTTGATCATTATTTAGCATTAAATCAGAAAACATGATTTCTACTAAAATGAATTTGACAAGAAAGAGATCTCATTAAAGGGAAAATTGTTGGTTTATTTTTTATGGACTAATTTATATATATAGAGGAAGCAACATATGAGAATGATAGATAGTGAAAGACATAAAAATGAGTCTGGATCATTAGATCTGGCATATCAATAATTTTGATCAAGTCAAATATTAAATATCACAGTCAAATATGAG